TCAGCTGGCCAGGAACCTCTGGGCCATTCTGAGCCAAGAATAAGCGAAACTGGAAATAGGAAATATCGCCCATGTCTTACTTGTTCCTTCTCGCCTTGAATGTCTACTGCTAAATGGTTTTTCATTATATCATTTTATTGGACCTTTTCAAAAAAAGTTTGGGATCTTTTAAAGGGAAGACCAAAATTGCAATGCACTTTAAAAGGGTTTCTTGAAAACATTTTCCAGTTTATTCATTAGTCCACTGTTCATCCTACAATATTTATTGAAGACTGACTGTGTAAATATCAACTGACAAAAATTTGTAGAGTTGCGATGCAAAGGCAGGGAATTAGAGGAACAGGATCAGCTGTAAGAAAGTGGTCAGCTGAGAAACACTGTTCTTGCAGTAGATAAAGAAATGGATATGGCCACAGATACAGCCCCTTTTTACCTTGCAACACTGATTGTAGCTCTCCAGGCATTTAGTGCTAACCTCACTTTAAATACACTTTCACACACTCAGAGAAGATTAAGAGCAAGCTGCAGTTTCATTTTATTGTTTTAATTTCCCAGGCCAATTTTGCTTCATCATGAAAATTTCTGGGGGGGAATCAACACAGCACTTCAGAAATGTTTGCTTGAAGAAATGAGTAAGATTTTCTTAAAAAAAACCTCTTTTTGAAAAAAAAAAAAGGTTCTCAGGAAAATAATACTGCCAGAGAAATGAATACAGCTTTGCTTGTTTTTGTAGCCATCGTTAGCAATAGACATGAAGGTATTCTTTTTTTTGAGTCCATATGGAAAGATCATCAACACATTCTGCCTCTGGGTTCTTTGCCAAAATACCATAACCCACAAGCCTTCTACCTTAAACATAAAAGGAAAGGTGTTGTTCTGGTCAAATAAAGAAATAATTTTTACTAGCATACGTCTAATGTTAAAGCTGCCTAAATCCTGCCAAATACATTAAAACAACATCTGTAAAACAGATTTTCATTAAATTGATCAGTTTAAAGTTAAGCAGCTAGGCAGATGATGCTTTTATGCTCACCCTTAACCTTTAACCTTTAACCTCCTTTAACTGGAATGAGGACACACACTTCTTTTAGGTAATACAGCAAGAGGTAGCCTATTCAAATCAAACTGACACAAGACCACGTTTAAAGTGTTGTCAATCAAAATGTTGTCAATAACAAGAAAAGCTGAATTCTCACAGCTCTGCATTTGTCTTATAACTGCTACTTGTCACTTTCCCGTAAAGTCTAACTAATTCCTGAAGCAGAATGATGCAAATTAAGCTCTTAATGAAAATAAATTTTATGTAGGAGATTATTGTCTAGTCATTAACTCAGAAACTATTTTAAGTCTAATTTTAATATTTGAGCCAAATTACAAACCATCATTTTTTCCCAGGCCCTGGCCAATTTGTTAGCTTCTCATTTAAAAGCAATTAATGTTACTTATGAAGCAATTTTATTTTGCTCACACAAGCTGACCAAGCTTGCTGAAATCCCCATTACTGCACTTGAAAAGCCTCTCTTTCTATCTGATGCACACTGTCTTTGGTCTTTGTAACTCGTTTTAGAAATGGCATCCTCAACACATTGCTATTCTGGGGGACTTGTGCAGTTATCAGAAATAAGGAATGCCCTTTGAAGGATGATGCAAAAAATATAGTTCAATGGCCCCATATCAAACTGCAACCGCTCAAATATTTCTCTGTTCAATCTTCTTTTAATTCAAGGTAAGTTTGTTCAAAGTGTGTTTGTGTGGTTGCTGACCACTTTAGACACTACAGTATTAGGGAACTTGGGTATTTAAGAGATAAGCAAATAAAGAAGAGTTGGGGGAGATTTTTGTATATGACATAACATTTTAAAGGTAAGAGGACAAATATACCCTTTGGTTCTGACACTGAAAGCTCTCTCTGCTTGAAAGCCCTCTTTATAAACAAGGGTTTATCTCCTTGGGTTGTTAGCCATTCAAAGGCAATATCCAACTCTCCCTTCAAAGGAACTTCCAGACCAGCTCTGGCACCCAGCAAATTGCTCTGCAGACAGTGAGGGATGCCAATTCACACCCGTGGAATGAATGGAAAAACTTAAAAACACACATGTCTACATAATCACCAAACAATTAGACTAAATCGCCTTTCCTGATACAATAAACCATGCCACTCTACCTCTCTGGAGCTTCCCACATGAGATTAATAAAACAGAAAAATTTGTACATTTATGTCTTCTTTTTACAACATGTTCATTTCAAGTGTTAGAGGGGCTGCGTGAATATAAACCCAGTTCATGAATATTCTATCTAGCTCCCAGGGTTGAGATCTATTATTTATACAAACTTAATGTTTGTTTGTTTTTTTTTCTCTCCTCAGTATTCTAAAAGTTTTAATAGGTCAGGTAGCAACAGGGGAAAAAAAGTTGACAATTGAACGGTTGTCAACCATTGCTGTAAAATCTATGAATTATAATACAATTAATTCGTTGGATTATATTTTCAATACCATCAACTTAGAAGCTTTCCAGCTTACATCAAAGCCTGACCTCCCCTCAAACCCAAATCTAATGCTTTCATTATTGATCCGCAGAGCGCCAGCATCACAGGAACAATGTTACAAATTCTCCCACCACTCTTCCGGATTTTATGCTCCGTTCATCAATCTAGAATTGGAACTTCAAGAAACAACCTCAACAAACAGTGCCAGGCCAACCCAAATAAATAATTCCTGCACGCGCTCTAGACCACAGTCTGTTCTGCTCCTCGCGTGTTTATAGTTTGCAGCAGTATTAGAAAAGCCATAGGTGTTACAATCACTGGTTGACTCCTGATAGTATAGTTACCCCTGATTTCTAGTATAAATCAATAGATAACACTTGCAAAATGGATTTTGTAATCATATTTAGAGCTTGTTACAATGACAAATGGTTTGCAATATTTTCTGAATTTTAATGTCCTCTAGACAAAAGAAGTTCTTAATAAGTTACCCAGTTATTCATCATAGAAATGAATCTGTTCCACATGTTACATGAACCAAGACAATCAAGCCAAACCAGTCCACCAGCTGCCCCAAACACATTAACCAGTCATCAGGATCCACAAAAAGTCAAGACAAGTTGTGCAATCAATGGTGTTCCTCACTTGCATGTATTCATTACATCAGCATCAGATAAAAGTATTATTTGCCTTTGAATGAACATTTTTATCCCTGCCACATCCACTGAGGGGATAAAAGCATTACTAGCTGGGAAAAATCATGCAAAACAACAACAGTGTTAAGAAGACTTTCAGCTGATGCTAAGGGAGAGTGCGTTTACACAACACTACTAGGTACTTAAAAGGAAAAGCAAAAATGCGCACACAGAGTCACCTTGTCACCAAACAAAAGGTGACAGGAGGTAGCACTATTGTTGTCCTCTGCTCCCTGTAACCATTCACACTTAGCCATGAGTGGTACACTACGCTTTAAAAAAAATAACAATCAATAACACAGCATTGTTTTGCATATGAAAATACTCATAAAAGCTATTTTATTTGGGAGAAACCAGTAAAGCAATCCATGCCACTGTGATAGATAGAACAGGGACGTATGGCCAATCTTTCAAATAAATTCTCCCGTTGCTAGATTCCAACATAACATGTATTACCATTCAGCAGACACTGTGTCCCTTGCCCTGCTAATTTTTTTTTCTTAACTTGCAGACTTGTGCTCCAAGCTCTGAAACAGTTAATTCCCACCCACCCCCACCCCTGTGTCAAGGGAGAGGGATGTCGCCCTTACCTTGTAGAGCTTCAGGGCCGCCTCGTGCCTGTGATTGGTGGTGTGCAGGCGTAACTTATCCACACTGTTGGTGTAGTAGTCGCAGGCATTGCACTTCAGGTGGACGGGGTTGCCAATGGCGATGCACTTGAGCCTCCACTCGTTGGTTTTGCCTCCTTCTTTAATATGAGCCACCAGCTGGTACTTCTGCATGTGTTTGTCGGTCTTGCAGTGGAGCTGGAAGTTGGCTTTGAGCTGCGTGTTGTAGTTACAGAGCTTGCACTGGTAGATATCTCCAATTACAGCCCTCCACTCCTCTTCAGGGAGAGCGCGCTCGCTGCTCACATGCACGCTCAGGGCCTCCAGGCTGTCAGAGGTGAATTTGTTGCACACAGCACACTGGAATAGCTTCAGTGCCGGGTCACTGATATAAGGTGACAGCTCTCCTGCAGTAAGGAGGGACAGGTCATCACCCATTAGCTGACCACTGGCAAGCCGGATTTCAGGCGGCAGCTCATTATTGACTACAGGAAGAAAAAAATTAAGAGGAAAAATAGACACTAGGAAACACAGCACACACAAAGGAATCTGTAAAACAAAAGTCTTGGCCGGGGATGTGCTTTCTCTAGAGCTTAAACCCATAAAAAGCTGTAATAGGATTGAATCGGGATCAATTACAATCATCCCTTTCAACTTCTAAATGCCCTCACCAGATAGCTTTAATTACTCCTACTGGGCATGATGTCATTCTGAAATTTGTATTTTCGAGGGCAAGAGCGGTGATCGATACCATAACAAACAGCCACGTGCTGGCGATGGAAGAGCCTAGATAAACTTACATAAGCACTAATTGCTATTTCGCAATTTGTCTGAAGCCTGATGAGATCTGGCTAATACTGTAGGCGCGCCGGGAATCTCTTGCCAAATACCCGGGATAAGGTAACGGCATGACTGTTAGCCGTTTAATTACCTTCCATCACAGACACGGAAGTAGTTTTCACTAATATTTCATTAAAAATAACGGTCTACCCTTTAGAAGCACCAGTTTGATATTTGCGGGAATAACTGCCAAAAGCAAAGCTATAAACCTTGCACGGGTTACAGCTAATAATGGCAGGCAACTCGGGCACATGCGCGCTTGTTCATCGAGCTGCTGGATGAAGGCAAAGTTTGCTAACTCCTCTCAGGCTGCCCGGGACCCCCTCAGGGCTTCCTCTATGGAGTTAACTCAGGTTTGAAGTGAAGCCAAGTGGTTTGATTATCAGCTGAGAGAGAAATGTCCCCGATGCGTCTGCACTCACCACTTCATCTGGGCGCATCCCACCAACTCAGCATGTGCTGCGGAGCTAACGGGGCTGGAGAAAGGCAGTAACTACTAACCGAGTCCGGGGGCCAGGGCGGCCGCCGTGGCCGGGTCCAGCTGGAAGGGGCTGAGCATCAGCTGGGGGTCGGCCGGGTTCTCCAGCTTCATCCCGGTCAGGCCGATGTTCTGGGCCAGGTAGTACTGATACAGCTCCGCCTCGGCCGGGGCCAGGCCCAGGTGCAGGTTGTGCTGGATCTGCTTCATGTTCTGCTGCAAGAGCATCATGTTGTGCATGTGCTTTTCGCTGGTCATGTGAATCCGGAGGTTCCTGGCCACGTTGGTTTCGTAGTCGCACACCTCGCAGCGCCAGGTGGGTTTCTGCTTGGGTTTGGACGGGGAGGGCGTCCCGCTGAGGCTGGCGGTGGGGGCGGGCGCGGCGTGGCCGAACACCTGCTCGCCGCCGCCGTTCTGCAGGTTCTGCACGTTGTTCAGGTGCTTGTCCGACTGCATGTGGATGCTGAGGTTGCCTTTGGTCGTGGTCGAGTAGTTACACACCTCGCAGCGGAAGGGCTTGTAGCCGCACGTGTAGCTCTCGCCCCGGGCGAGCCGGGGGTGCGGCTGGCCGGTCTTACAGTACACGCACGAGCCGCCGGGCTCGGGGTGCTTCTCCTTCATGTGGGCCTCCAGGGTCTGCTGGTATTTGTAGTGCCAGTTGCACTTGGGACACTTGAGGGTCTTGCAGGAGTTCCTGGAGTGCATCATGGTCATGTGGCCGCCCAGGGACCGCGAGGACCCC